AGTTAAAAAAAAAAAAAAAAAGTGCTTAGTGAGAAACAACACAAAGCCACAGATATAGTATGCATTTGGACACTTCTGTGTATTTAGTGAGTTTGATGATTTAAAACCTAGCCTTGCAGTAGCGCTGAGAATTTTGATTTCAGTTAATAAACCATATGCAGGGTTTTTTCCTTTTTATGGCTGGTAAAATCATGTACCACTGCACTTGTAACTTGGAGTGGAGGTTTTTATGGGGTTTTTCAGGGAACTAAGTAAAAAGGCCTTACTTTTATACTGTGAAGCTGGGGGAATGGGAATGAAGTTGGTGATGTTTAGTTACTAAACAGTGAAGTCCAGCAATTGGTTGAGAAGTAGAATATGCAGCCTGGTCAGTGGCTGAGAGATCTTGGGTTTGAAACTTTGGGGACCTCTTTGTTTTGAGATGGAGATGTGCATGTCCATATAGACGTAGTTTGGAAATGGGGATGAGCAGACAAGGTAACAACTAACTTGCATGTCTTGGCTCCCTCTTGTAAAAGGATACTTAACACTGTACTTCACAAAGACTTCATAGATGATTTGAAGTGATGTCTTGGTATTTCAATACTCTTATAAAAGCCAGTATGTTAAGACATTTTAAACTTTAATTGCAGTTGTCTGACAGCAATAGGATACAACATTTTTTTTTTCTGAAATTTTTTTCCTCTTGTTTGCTGATTTAAGACCTAATTGTGACTTTTTTTTTTTTTGGTTCATTTGAATACGTGAGAGAATCTCCCAACCCTATTATGATTCCATAAACTGCAGCAGGTTTCTTTAAAAAAACAGGAATGCACAATATGTAGCCTTTGAGGGCAGTAAAGTACTAGTGACTTGCCAATGTTCTTTATTTAAACCGCTTCAGTAAAAAGAAGATTCAGAGAGCAAAACAGCAAATCCTTGTGGCACACCAGTTTATTGATTTATGCTTGTGCATCTGCATGTGTAGTCCAGTTTGCTCTTTGCATCCAATCAGATGCAGTCCTACTGATGTTAGCTCTTCATTGGAAAGAGTTATTTGCAAGTGGCCCTCAAAGTTTTTTGAGGTTTTTGTTTTTTTACCCTAGTTCTTAACAGTTCTGAGAACTAAAAAGATTGGGGGTGTGGGACAGTCCAAACTGCATTATATATAAGATATACTGTTAAAAGCTGAGTTACTGTATTTATAGTTTCCTCCCCCATTCAACATGGTCAGGGGAAGGAGGGACATGCAAGTTTAGTTGTTACCTTGTCTGCTCATCCCCATTCATATATACAAGGCTGAGGAAGGAGAAGCAGGCAGTAGCTCTGGCTCTGGCTCCAGCTCTGAACTGGACTCACAGCTGCAGCATCTGTGCACCCTGCTCTCCCTCCCTTTTCTTCTCCGCCCCCCGCCCCCCCAGGCTCCTTACCCTCAGTTGTGGCTCTGGCCTGGGGCACAGTGTATGCTATGGCTCCTGCCTGTGTGTAGTCAAGCAGCGGTGGTGGCAGCTCCAGTCCTGGCTTAGGCTCCAGCTCTGACCTGGGGCTAGATCCGGAGTCGGTGTGCGTGCCCTGGGCTGGAGCCGTAGCCATGTCTGAGGATAAGTGGCAGGGAAAAAGGGAGGTAAGTTACTTCCCTCCCTGCCATGGCATCCCCTGCTACAGCAATTTGCGGGGTGGGGGTATGAATTTAACATAAGCCTCCAATAATTAGATTTTAGATGGAGGACATTTGTTACAATTTTTCCTCATCTAACAGCTTATTATTTGGGGCTTGCCTTAAATTCAAAGTAGCTTTGGATTCAGGTAGATTTGGTAGCTTCTAAACATAAGACAAGCCAATTTTTAATGTTCTGGTAACACAGCTGTGTGTGTAATGTGCCTAAAATGTATTAGGCACTTGCCTAATTGAAAAATATATTTTGAGCTCAATTGATACCCTGAAAATCTTGTTGAAGAAAAGTTTGAGGCATGCTCTACAGAAGGTCATCTTTGCTCTGGAAGGCCTTCTACAAGCCTTAAGTTGCCAAAGCAAAAATTTTAAAATGGCTCTGGGGGTCTGGGTCTGGGAGAAATCTGGGTCTGGGAGGCGAAGTGTTGAATAGGCACTCGGGGGCTCTGAGGTGTAGTGTTGGAGAAGTCCTTGTTCCACAGTTAACAGGGCACCCCCTCCCCCGTTCTGTGGAAGTCTGAAGCTCTTAATTCTTAGTACCTCAATATTGATCCCTTTTCCACGAGCACTTTTGCTTATTTAAAGAGGGTTAAAGCATTATTCAGAAACAGGAAGTTGGGATGTAGGTATGGTGTTATTTAAACTCTTTATTTCAACAAGGATAAGTCTCACATGATTTAGTAGTAACTGCCTATACTAAACTGCTTGACTCTCTCTTTTTTTTTTTTTTCCCTGTGGTTCCTCCCCTACATCCTACCCATTTCATCTGGGTCTAAGCTTTCTAGCATCTAGGGAGGGAAGTAGTTGCAAGGGTCAGATGCTGGGGGAGTTAAATGGCCTGGCCTGCCCCTGCCACCCCACACACACCTTTTTACCCTCCCCACTTGCTCCCCATCCATCCCTACCACCAGCATTACACTTGTCCATTGTTTCAGAAGAAAAATAGAATGAAGTTTAATAAGCCAACAGAAATATACTTGAGTAATGAGTAGTAAGTTTGGGGTAGAGAAGCTGAAAGACACAAATAATTCCTTAAAAGCATTTTGTTCAAATTCTATCAATGCTACATATTATAGTACATTAAGATACAATGTGACTAATGCAATATTGCTAGACTACTGCTCTGAACACATCTTAACTATCTTTTATTACAGGAATCTTACCCTTCTTCTTCACCAATATGGTTTGTGGAATCAGATGACCCAAACCTGACTTCAGTGTTGGAGCGTTTAGAAGATATCAAGAAAAGCAATACTTTGGTGAGACGTTTAGTTTTTTCATTAGTCTGACTAGTAGTTCCCTAAGATGTCAAAAAAAACCCTTCTTTTTGGCTGCTCGTACTGCTTTTCACATCAGAAAGCAGATGGCACATTGATATCAAAGTGGCTCACCAGTAAACCCAAAAGATTCTGGTATGCGTGGGGTTTCTCATTTTTGGTTTGGTTTGTTTTTTTTAGATGACTTGAAACAAATATCTAGGAGAACTTGACAGTTTTGCTAATAATGTTGTAACTTGTGCTTGCTGAAAATGGTTACATGATAGTTCTCATATAAGGAAAAAAGTTAGGGTATTATTCATTGACTGCATTATACAAAAATTATAACTATTGGGACAAAACATTGTGCAGTTTTAGAACACTTGTGCTCCATACTTCAACTGGAACTGTGGTTCATGCAGCTGGGGAAACCTTCAGGTTCTTCCGACTTCCTTCTCATTTTCAGTAGGAAGGATTTTAACTGGTAACTCATCTCTGACTGACTGCATGTGTTTCAGGCTGGTGCTGCATTTCAAAATTGTCTTAAACTTGAGAGGAAAACATCACGTACGGATTCTGTCTCAGTCTAATATTCTAGAGTACAAGGTTTTTTTGTACCATTTTAAAGGTGTACAGCAGCATTAGTTCTGACTCGGGTGCCCTTGGTTATAATGATGAGAATGAAGTAAAGTGTTTTGACTTAACACCTCCTTCTACCCAAGGAAGGAATGGCTTATTTTCATACTTCTTGGAGGAAGATTTCAATGAAATGTACTTGGTCTCTTGAAGAAAAAAAGAAGAGCATTACAATACATCAGAGAGGAAACTGATGTGTGGTTTTACTACTTTAAAAAAAAATACAAAGATTTGGCAAGTTTCCTTTAAGCTAAACCACTGGTTTTCAACCTATGGACTATGTCTAAGGGTTCCACTAAAGATGACTACAATGAATCAAAAGTATGTGAATACCCACACTTAAAATTCAAAGGGGTCCACACCTTCATTCACAATTTCCAAAGGGGTCCTCAAATGAAAAAAAAGGTTAAAATCACTGGGCTAAAATATACTTAATTGGTTAAAATGAGTTGTCCTGTACCTTAAGGAACAGTCTTAGTTTTGGTCTTGTCAGAGTGTTCATCCTGCCACAGATATGAGAGAAAATATTAAGGTTCTTTAGGATACTAATTCCAAAACTAGTAATTGAACAACATTGGTTTATTCTGGGGAAAAATGAGGGATTTTAAAGTAATCACTTTTCCAAAGCATTTAGGAGTGTAATGTCAGTTATATGTGGCTTTTAATAATTTGGATGTAAAAAAATGCACAGTAAAAACTACCTCCAGTAGTACCTTTTTGCTACTTTACCTAGCCACTTCTGTTACCACAAAATCAACAACTGAACAGGAAATTACATATGCTTCACAGTAATTAAAAGGAATATCACCTTAATTACTTGGACTCCAGCAGGGTACATAATGCAGTCTCTGGGCTTCCCTTGCCTCCTTTGGCTTCACTTTCTGCACCTGCTCTAGGAGGTGGGGTAGTGCAGTGCAGCACAGCACGGGGAGCTGAGGGTGAGCTCAGTCATGTGGGCACCCATATGGGTGTACAATGCAGCAATAGGGCAGGAGATTGCTTGTGCAGCCCAGGGACCCATGGGGTATGTGGCTGCTGGTTGCTTAGATGTTGGACAGCCCTGGTATATATTGTTATGGCTGCTTACAAAGGTTTAAAAAAAAATTGCACACTTTATCAAAAGAAGCAATGTGGTAGCTCAACCCAGATCTGCAGTATCTGTATAGATCAGGTGCTTCAGTGGGGCTTTTTGGTGTTTTTATCAAAAGCCAATTCATTCGGCTATTGGATAAAAGCCTCACTAAAGCACTCAATCTATACAGATGTTGGGCAAGCCAGGTCCAGCTAACATGATGGCTGTTCTGGTTATGTGCTGGGCTGAGGATGCCAAGGTTAAAAATCCATTTTTTTTATTATTATTATTATTTTTTTTTTTTAACGTCTGTAAGCAGCCTGTGTGACTATTTTGCATCAAAGCATTAACTTATTACAAACTTGTGGATTACTATACTATGGAATTTGGTATGGTTGCACATGGAAATTTTTGGGTAGAATAAAACCCCAAAACATATTTCCCCCCTGCCCCCTCAATAGCTCTTGAGCTGATTGGACACTGAAGATAGAATTTCTGAATTAAGCTTAAAAAGCACAGAGGAAAAGAGGGGGCAGGGGCAGCAGAATGACTTCTCTTTAGTACCACCTGTCTGAGCTGTTGTCTTATGTTTTGTGAAATATGTAGCTTGGTTGACCATACTTCTAGCTGCCACTTTCAGGCCTTAAAAGCCTGAGGATAGAAACAAAGCGCAAATATGCAGGGCCCAGAAATAGCTGGAGCCTGTTGTGCCATGTTGTACTGCCTCCCTGTTGAATCTGAGACCACAACTGAGAAATGGGTTGGTGCATATATCCAGGATCATTTCAAGCAGCATACACTGAGTTGGGGATGTGCAGAGTGGGAGTGAAGAGGCAGGGCTTCTTTCTCAATGGAGGTCCAGGGTAGATCATGGGCTGGTCCAAGGCAGCTGAGTGGCTGAAGAATGTGTTTAAAATCTGTTTTGTTTTGTTTTTTTGTTGTTTTTTTTTTTTTCTTTCTTCTAACAGCCCCCCTTCCTATATTCCTGAACTTGCTTAATTTCTACTGCTTTTGAGGAAAGGGTCTGTTTTGTGTTGCAAGTGTGTGTCTGCTCTTTGAATAAAGAGGATCTCTGAGTAGATATATAGAGACTGGTGTATTTGCATTCTCAAAAAGGGCAGTTTCAAAAAAAAAAAAAAAAAAAGCAAAATTTACTTTCTTTTACTGGTTTCCCTGAGAGTGTTGTAGCTAACAGAACTTGTGCCTTCAGACTGCAGTAGGGATATAGGAAACAAAGTTGTCACTGCAGCAGTGTATTTATGAATGGAATAGTGTTTGGCTCTTACAGTAACTTTGATCACATTGCACATAGTGAGCATGTAGGTATGTATGTATATGTTAATAGGCAGCACTGTTTGTTGTTTCTAGAGTTGGCTCCAGTCTTGCTTGCTTATAATTTATCAGACATTAACTATTTGCTCTGAAAAATTCCCATGTTGGTAAGTTGCTGGAGGCTGCAAATTTTGGGAGTCTAAGGGAAACTGTGTTTTGCTCAAGTTTAAATCTTTGCAGGTTCTTCATGAGAAATGCTGATTTGTGCCTTCATACTTTTACAGCAAAGACTTGAAGTTTGGGCAGGATTTACCCTAGCATCAGCCATATGTCTTTTGTTATCCTTCTGAAAAATACTTGCTTGCATATACTCAATATGGCTTGTTAGATTTAATCAACTAAATTATCCAGAAGCAGTCTGCAGTGAGCATGCTCCAAGTGTGATGCAGAGGCTGGAACAGAACTCTCCCCAGCAGCTGGGCATCGCTATGATGTAGAAGTGAATAGGGAGAATCTCTTCTTTGGTGGTTATGCTAGCTAGGCATCATGAAGAAGGAAATACCAGAAGAAACTGATGGGAGATGATGCCAGTGGCAGCAGCTTAAGTGCTGGTTTGGTGGAGCAAAGAGGAAACATTGCAGAAAGGCTGTCAGATGGAGCAAGGGCACGGGTCCGCAACCTAAGCCCACTGTCTAAATCTGGCTCATGAAGAGACTGGATCTGGCCAGGGGCAGCTCAAGGAATGAGCAGCAAGCTCCAGCCTCAGCAGCAAAGGAGGCATCCCCAAGGTGCTGGCACCTGGCTTTATCTATTCCTTTGCAGCGCCTACTGATTGCCAGGGGAATGCTGCCTTATGGCAAGGGCTGGGTTGCAAGCAGCAGCCCACAGTGGCAAAAGGTTGCTAACCCCGGGCAAGGAGGTAGGTGCAGAAGGAAATAAGATCACTAAAACATGATTTGCTCAATATCTCCTGGCTTCATTTCAAAGTTCCAAGTCTCTTTCTTTATTTTTTGGTTTTTAGTAAATGTATGTGAAATCCAGAAACAGGCTTTCATTCCTCATTTTTAGCGGCTGCTCTGTGCAGAAAATGACCCTCTGCTGCTACTAGTTAATTCAAATGGTAGATCTGTACCCAAGGTGGGTGTTGATATAGTTTTTTACATAATGGGCTTGGTGTGTGTGTGTTAAGCAGAAAACCCTTTTGGGTTGTGTTTGGGGGTTTGTTTTTGTTTTACTTTTTTGAATCTTTAAAAAAAACATATTTGAAGACCTGACATAATGCATATGGACAGTGGAGTTGAATTAAGATTGCATGGACAACTCTAATTCTAGCATTTCCAAACTTAAATACTTGATGTATGATCTTTGAAAATTCTTTATAAGCATGAGGTTTTCCTGATGGGATAGAGCTTTGTCTGCATTTTTGAAGAAGTTCAAGTCATTTAAATCTCCCACTTCCTGGGGGGTTTTTTCTTGTGAATTTCAATATGCTGTCTTTCGTTTCAGTAAAGAATGCTTAATTTCAGTAGCAATCACTGCTGCTGATTATTTGAGAGGATGAAAACCTCATTCTGTTCCCCTAAAATTTCAGGGGCTAATCTTTGAGTCACAGGAGCTGACAGTGCTGAGTAGTGATATATAAGAAAGATATTCCCTCACCTTATCTACAGTGGTAGGATAACATTTAGAGCTGTATTGTTCTGTTCTCTGGCCCATACTGCTTGACAGTTGTGTAGGAAACATGTTTACAATGGGCCCAGCACATATATTAATATCCTAATTAAGATCTCTAAATCCCCTTGTGCTCTCAGACTGTGGAGATTTTCTACAAAAGTGTGAAAGAGTTTTTTGGTTTTTTTTTTTTTTGTTTTTTTTGTGTGGGTTAAGAGTTAATTTGGTACATAGTCACTTGCAAAATGTTAACACAGGAAACTGAAATTAATGTCTAAACACCTCTTGGAATTAAAACATTATCATGGCAACCACAAAAGCAACCAACTTCTCAGAACCCTTGAGGGCTTTT